AGCAGACTGTGAGCACTGAAACCAAGAGACCAATAGAGAAGATCAATTTCTAACTTATAAAGAATGATTTAGATCAGAGTAAACTGGAGATTATAAAAGGATCATGACAAGAAGAATCTTTAATATAGACATCTCAACTCCTATGTACTCTCTGGGACTATTAAGAAGAGTTTCTCATTGGTGAGATTCAGAAAATAGAAATAGGATAGACCACTGGCATGTCCCCCGCTCTTTGATTTACCATTGTTGTTCTTGGCTTTTCCTTTGTTTTCATTCAGATATTGTTAATAGGCTTTTATTTTTATAAAATTTTAAATTTATATAAAAGATGCAAGAAGAATACAGAATGCTTATACACCCTTTCATTTTTTTCTCCACGTGCTTTCATAGCAACTCCCCCTACATACCACAACTCTCTCTGAATATACGGTATATATTACAGTTTTATCATGCTATGTCTTAATAATCACCATTCCAGACAATTTCACCATGGAGAACTTAGGTTAGTCTTTATTTACAGAATGTTTTCTTGGACTGTAATCTTTTTTTTTTTTTTTGTAAACATATATTTTTATCCCCAGCGGTACAGGTCTGTGAATTGCCAGGTTTACACACTTCACAGCACTCACCATAGCACATACCCTCCCCAATGTCCATAACCCCACCCCCCCTCTTCCAACCCTGCTCCCCCCATCAACCCTCACTTTGTTTTGTGAGATTAAGAGTCACTTATGGTTTGTCTCCCTCCCAATCCCATCTTGTTTCATTTACTCTTCTCTTGGACTGTAATCTTATATATAAGTTCTGTTCCATGGTTTTAATTTTCTTCTTCAGAGGAACTCCAATTATTCATATGATGGCTCTTCTTTGCCTTTCTTCCATTTCAACCATTTTCTTTCTGACTCTTTTTACCTGTTTCTTCATATCGCTGACATTCTCATTATTGTTTTCCTGCCTTTCTTCAATGGTGCATATTATACTTTTCTTCAAATCTATTCTTTTCATAATGTAATTTAGTCTCTAGATCTAAAAAGAATAAAGTCTACCATTTTATTCTCTTTCTTTCCTGTGTCCAATAAACTTTCATTTCATCTCCTCCTGATTTTTTGGTCCATGTCTAACCTGTGTTTTAATCTATGATTCAAGGTGATTTTCAAATCCCAATTTTTGTTTGAAAATACTTAATTCACTTTAGAGTCTCATGTTACAATTTTCTTTTCTTCCATGGTTGGTTTTCAGAGCAGAATTTCCATCAGCTGAAATGTGTTGATTCTCCATTCTATTTTCATTTTACAGTAGCATCATATATAGGAGGATTGATTTCATGTCTGCATTTCTTGGACAAGTTTGAAAATCTGAGCTGGTTCACATAAACTTCAGTTCAAGAACACCCTCTCCTGTCAGAGTGGCAAAGTGCAATTCCTTTAAAGTCTAGCTCATGGTGGGTGGCAATGGAAAGGAATTACATACATTTCCTTCAATTTTTTTGTTTGTTTGTTTATCTTATGGAACTTGGGATTTCATCATCTTGCTTCTTTTTCCCTTCAACATGAGATTCCAAAGGATGACTCTCCCTCATCCCTAGGGATGAACATTAACCCACTTCATCTCTAGAAGCATTGCATTTCCACAGCTGTTACCTGAGTACTGTTAAGCCCCCTCCTTTTTACTCAGTGCTCTTGTCTACCAGATTCTGCGTCAGTATTTTCACACTTAGCACAGACTATCTTTCTGAGGGTGATTTGCAGACAATCTCTTTTTATCTCTTCTGCACAGTTTTTCTAAAACCTTCTGTCTACAAAGGTTTGCAGTGAGAACCTGTGAGACAGCTCTACTGAAAACTGATGCTACATTTCTACTTACACCTAATGTTTGAATTGTCCTCTGTCTCCTAGCTCTGCTGAAGGTGAGGGATTTATATGCTTAAATTTGCTTCTTATTGGACTCTACAGATTTCTGGAAAATGTAGAAATTATTAAGATTTAGGCAGCAGTAATTACTTCAGCTACCTGTAAGTTCCTCATTTAATCTTCCTTAACCAGATATTTCTGGTTAAGGAATATTAAGTAAATACATTAAGTATGAAATTACATTTCTGGTTTAACTTTTTTAACTCTGTAGTGGAGATTCCAGTGGACACACTGTGCTCTACCCAGGTCCCCTCTTTAGAGTTAAGGCACCTTTTCTCCCAGTTGAGGAGCATCATAGTTGCTGACCTCCCATGACACCTCTCACTAAGAATGACCTTTAGCCAAAGGAAACTGTCTTACCCAGGGATTCACACCCCACTCCATGAATAAGCCATCAACCAATGGTTGGCTGATGCAAGAATACAAAATTCAGTACCTTTACCTTAATTTATGACAACTGCAAAGGGCCACTCTGCTCTAGAGCTAACCTATAGGATCAGCTGATGTCTCACTTATAAATGCAGGGTGGATCAGCTACTCCCGTTGCCCAATCCTACCTTCCTCACTTCCTTACAGGTGTATATCATGAACACATTCTACAATAGACCCTCTGAAAACAATTCTCTACCTCTCACTATTTGCAAAGCATCCAACCTAAGACAATCACCATTTAAAAAAAAAAAAAATTATTCTGTTATCAGATAGGCACTGTTGTAAGAACCTTGAGTATAATGTATACATTCATTTAATTTTCATAAGGAAGATGTGGGGAAGATACTATTATTATCATCTTCATATCTCAGATGAGAAAAGAAACTCTTAGAAAAAATAAGTACCTTGCCTAGGTTAATAAATGGTCAGGGCAGGATTTGAATATAGCACTCTGACTCAAAAGCCCATTCTCTTATCCACTTTACTATACTGCCTCTCCCACTGGTTTTTCATTCACTGCTTCTCTGGTATGACCATTACTGTTCCAATTCTTTGCATTTCTCTTTGACCTGCTATAAAGCAGAACCAGCATATGACACATACCAAAATGATCACAAATATTAAGATGTTTTTATTTTTTAACACATAATATTTTCACTAATGGATTAGCCATAACATTAGTTGCCAAAGATGGAACTCATTGATCTATGACTTTTTCTTCCAAATTTTTAATTTATAAACAGAGAAGAAAGTTTATAAATCCAGCCTATTATCACTTGGTCCCATTATAGAATCACTGTTCATTTGTACACATGCATTAGCAAGTACATGTTAACAACCACTTCTCCATAGATTTGTTTTTATCCTACCACAAAAAAGGTCATAATTTTTCTCAGAAATTCTATACTGCCAAAAGCAATCTATACTTTCAATGCCATCCCGATCAAAATTCCACCAGTATTATTCAAAGAGCTGGAACAAATGACCCTAAAATTTGTATGGAACCAAAAGAGACCCCGAATTGCTAAGAAAATGTTGGAAAAGAAAAAGAAGACTGGGGGCATCATGTTGCCTGATTTCCAGCTTTACTACAAAGTTGTGATCACCAAGACGACATGGTACTGGCACAAAACCAGACACATAGACCAGTGGAACAGAATAGAGAGCTCAGATATGGACCCTCAACTCTATGGTCAAATAATCTTCAACAAAGCAGGAAAAAATATACAGTGGAAAAAAGGCAGTCTCTTCAATAAATGGTGCCGGGAAAATTGGACAGCTATGTATAGAAGAATGAAACTCGACCATTCTCATACACCATACACAATGATAAACTCGAAATGGATAAAAGACCTCAATGTGAGGCAGGAATCTATCAAAATCCTAGAGGAGAACATAGGCAGTAACCTCTTCGACATCGGCCACAGCAAATTCTTTCAAGATATGTCTCTAAAGGCAAAGGAAACAAAAGTGAAAATGAACTTTTGGGACTTCATCAAGATCAAAAGCTTCTGCACAGCAAAGGAAACAGTGAACAAACAAAGAGACAACACATGGAATGGGAGAAGATATTCGCAAATGACACTGAAGACAAAGGGCTGATATCCGAGATCTATAAAGAACTCCTCAAACTCAACACACACAAAACAGATAATCGTGTCAAAAAATGGGCAGAAGACATGAACAGACACTTCTCCAAAGAAGACATACATATGGCTAACAGACACATGAAAAAATGTTCATCATCATTAGCCATCAGGGAGATTCAGATCAAAACCACATTGAGATACCACCTTACACCAGTTAGAATGGCCAAAATTAAAAAGACTGTAAACAACAAGTGTCGAAGAGGATGTGGAGAAAAGGGAACCCTCTTACACTATTGGTGGGAAAGCAAGTTGGTGTAGCCACTTCTGAAAACAGTGTGGAGATTCCTTAAGAAATTAAAAATACAGCTATCCTATGACACTGCAATTGCATTACTGGGTATTTACCCCAAAGATACAGATGTAGTGAAAAGAAGGGCCATCTGTACCCCAATGTTCACAGCAGCAATGGCCATAGTCACCAAACTATGGAAAGAACCGAGATGCCCTTCAACAGACAAATGGATAAAGAAGATATGGTCCATATATACAACGGAGTATTATGCCTCCATCAGAAAGGATGAATACCCAACTTTTGTATCAGCATGGACTGGACTGGAAGAGATTATGCTGAGTGAAATAAGTCAAGCAGAGAGAGTCAATTATCATATGGTTTCACTTCCTTGTGGAGCATAAGGAATAACATGGAGGACACTGGGAGATGGAGAGGAGAAGGGAGTTGGGGGAACTCGGAGGGGGAAACGAACCATGAAAGACTGTGGACTCTGAGAAACAAACGGAGGGTTTGGGAAGGGAGGAGGGTGGGGGATTGGGTGAGCCTGGTGGTGGGTATTATGGAGGGCACATATTGCATGGAGCACTGGGTGTGGTGCATAAACAATGAATTTTGGAACACTTAAAAAAATTTAATTTAATTTAATTAAAAAAAAAACTACTAAGCAGGTGAAGAAGTGTTGATGGGAGGCAGAAATACCTTTCTCTTGTTATAGCAAGTAGTCAATACTGTTGCTAAAAATTGATTTCAATCTCTTAAAAAAAAAAAAATTCTTACCACCATCTTGAAATTTGCTTAGTCTTTCAAAATACGATGACATGGGGACCTGTACAATATCTAGGATAGCCAGAAGTGTTCTTGTTAGTCTTAACAATTCGCTGAAACTATAAAATCCAAAGTATATAAGATTCCGAGCCAAGTGGACCACCTTAATAAAAAAAGGGAGGGGAAATGGGAAAGAAACAAAAGAAAAACATTACAAACTGAAATTAATATTGATTTTCTTTTTTAAGTAGGCTCCATGCCCAGCATGGAGCCCAGTGGGGGGCTTGAACTCATGACCCTGAGTTCGAGACCTAAGTTGAGTTCAAGAGTCAGATGCTTAACTGACTAAGTCACCCAGGCACCCCTGAAATTAACATTGATTTTTTTTTTATATTAATGCAGGTATTTCGAAACTTTCTAATTCTCTAATACCTAGGAATTAAAATGCCTGCAAAAGCAACCACTGAACTCTGATTTATTCACGTTTATAATCAAATCCAAATAAGGTCAGTTTGCCATCTCTCTCAAAAGCTCAGATGACGGGGCGCCTGGGTGGCTCAGTGGGTTAAGTCTCTGCCTTCGGCTCAGGTCATGATCTCAGGGTCCTGGGATCGAGCCCCGCATGGGGCTCTCTGCTCAGTGGGGAGCCTACTTCCTCCTCTCTCTCTGCCTGCCTCTCTGCCTACTTGTGATCTCTCTCTCTCTCTCTGTCAAACAAATAAATAAATAAAATCTTAAAAAAAAAAAAAAAAAAAAGCTCAGCAAAGAAGCCAAAAAGAGATTTTAGATGTATTAAGGTGTTTAAAGAAATTTACATAAGTATGATCTACTTAACTAAATATTAACTTATTTAAGTTACAATATCACTTAATAAATGGTTACATTAATGAGTTACTTTAATAAATGGATTTTATACAGGAATTTGTCCAGAAATAAATTGTTCCCTATGCTGTTATGTGGTCTTCTGGACACTGTAAGACATTCTAGGTATGATAGTCAGCTTCTAACATGGTCCCCAAAGTATGGTCTCTTTTCACACTGCACCAAGGATGGACTGTGTGACAAACAGAATACAGCAGAAGTAATGGCATGCCACTTCCAAGACTAGGTTTGAGAAGATTGCAAGTTCCATCTTAGCCTCTCTCTCTCTAATGGCTTGCTCTGTGTGCCATACCATGGCAGCCTATGGAAAAGGCAGCCTATGGAAAGGCCCACATGGCAAAAAGATGAAACCTCTGGTCAACAGCCAGCAAAGAGATATGGCCACCAAGATACACATGAGTGAGCTTAGCAGCAGGTCATCTAGCCAGAGATAAGTGCAACCCCAGTCAATGGTTTTAGGGATTCATGAGAATCCCTGAGCCAGAACCACCCAACCATGAATTTCCAGACTCCTAACCCAGAGAAACTGTAAAATAATAAATGCTTGTTGCTTTCAGCTAAGTTAGGAGGTAATCTGTTATACACCAGTAGATACCTAATACACCAGGTATCAGGTAATGGCATCATTTCTCTAGTTTTGTCACTATATCCCCCAAGTGATATTAAAACCAAAGGTATTCCAATTCAGTTTAATGAGGCTAAAAATTTCACTTCCATGGAGATGGGGGAAAAATGTATCCAAACAAATTACAATGTATGCAAATTATCTTTGTTCATGAAAAGCAATAAAACTTATACAGATAAATGAAACCCCCAAAATCCAGGAAAACAGAAGGTAACAGATAATTATAAACCAAATATTTTGTATTGAACATCAGGTCTAATTAAAGCATCAAATCTGTCTTTTAATCAATGGCAGAGGGAATCATACACTCATCAACTAAACAACCCAAATCCAAAAACATCTTAAATATTAGAGGGAAAAAAAATCTTTGATGCTCAATGTATCTAATTCTTGACAGGGAAAACTGAATAACCTCACAAATTAATCATTTATATTAAATACCTCAAATGTCAGTTTGTTTTTTTCTTTATCCCCAAAAGGAAAGGGCTGATTTACAACTTCTTTCAAGTATTCTTCAACAAATTCCATTGTCAGTGCAAATTTCCTCTTCATATCATTTCTGGAAGAGTCTGTTATAGAATCATATCTAGAAAGAAAGAATATAAAGCAAGTTAAATTGAGTGCAATCATTTAAAAATGGGAAAATATATGTACATTAACTTCCCAGCTTCTTAAGTTTAGGTAACTTATTTAACCTTTCTAGATGATTCTACCATAATATTAAGCACTTAAAAAATTGTTACTCCTATTATAAATATGATTTCTGCTTATTGGTTTCCAGAATGTTTCTATTACCAAGAGTTGTCATTTTACTCTCCAAAAAGAGTATCTTATTTGTATTTGATAGACTAACAACCTGGGTGTGTGGGGAGGAGGGCTAAACAAGTTGATTGGGAGGAAGGCGTGCGCATGCCATGATGAGCACAGGGTGATGTATGGAAGTGTTCAATCACTATATTGTACACCAAATATAACAATGTATGTTAAGTAACTGGAATTAAAATTAAAACTTTAAAAAAATAATTAAAAAATAAAAGCAGTTAAAAAAAAAAAAAAAGACTAACAACCTGAGTTTCAACCCGAAAATGCCCTTCCATATATTCATTTCAAAGTTGAAGACATTTGATTTTGAGTTCATCTACTGAACGGAAAGTTCTCAGGAAATGTTTCCAAACATACTCATGAATTGTGATCTTTGTAGGAATTTCGGTCCAGAGCCGGGCGTAGCGAACAGGCACCACGGATTCCTGGGGATCCCGGTCAACATGCATGTGAAGCATGAGGCGACAAAAAGACGCTCGGAGGTCAAAGGGCAGGCTCTCATCCGACACACACCGCAGGATCAAATCCACAGAGAGCTGCGTAGAAATCTGGTTTATGGCCAGATACTGGCGATCCAAGCACATCCTTGCAAAGAGGTTTAGCTGGTACCTTAAAAATATAAAACATGCTACATTATTTGTCTTCTCTTGATAAAGTTCTTAAACAGCACAATATCAATCAATATCTACCATCTACTTTTATACAACACCAAAATTTCTGAGTGCTCGTGACACTGGAGTCGAATTTTTTTCGTAGTGAATGAAGTAATCAAAGGATAGCAAATACACAAAATTGTGTCTACATCTATTCATATTACAATTTCTCTTACTTGTTCCAGCAACAAGTATCTGTTGGAAAGTGTCATTGGTGGGGGGGTGCCTTGATGGCTCAGTCGGTTAAGCATCTACCTTTGGCTCAGGTCATGATCTCAGGGTCCTGGGATTGAGCCCCACATAGGGCTCCCTGTTCAGCGGGAAGTCTACTTCTGCCTCTCCCTCTGCCCCTCCCCAATGCTTGTTCTCTCTTTCTCTCTCTCAAAGAAATAAATAAAATATTTAAAAAAGAAAAGTAAAGAAAGAAAGAAAAGAAAGCACATTAGGCTCTCCATTTTTGCTTTCCTAGGATTACAAATACACTAAGCCTAAAGGCTATGGATAACAGTGCACACAAAACCATCTCACCTTCCCATTCCCAATCAGCTCTGGCCCTAATATCTAGCTTCACTCTATCTTTAGATCCACTCAGTTCTCAAACCAAATGTGACCTATCCAAATGGCATCAGTTACACTTGGATTCAACAACCTCTGAGATCAAGAATTAGCCTTGGCATTGTTGCAATACCTGTAGAAATTGGGGAACACAAGGCACGCTCGGCCTTTCTCAGATTCCTGTCATCTGGGCCCAACCTTTCCCAAGGGCACCCATCAGAGGTTTCTATGCCTTAAACTCAAAGACACCAGCTAGGTTCTTGCTCCCAACATACTGACTTTCGGCAACTACCATGGCGACTTCTGCTGTCAAGTGCCACCAATGAACTTTCATAACTGTACATACCAGCTTCTATCCAGCCCTATTACTCCACATAGTTGTAAACATTCTCTACATTCCTGATGGCTCACTTTCTCTGAGGCCACCTCTGCAGCTGGATCAACACACCCAGCTCAGCGCCAGCCCTCAAGTCCAACACCGTGGTCCCATCATGTCTCTCATCTAATACTGATCAATCACAGGGAGAAAACCTTCTGCTGCACACCAAAACCAAATCAGTGAAAAATAATCAGAAAACTGCAAGTTGTGCAGGTAGAAACCACAGATGTTACCTTTTATTTTGAAGACTTTAAATAATATTATATATTTCCACTACCTTAGTTTTGACATGACTTTTTAAATTTCCTATTCATAGGTACCTGACTTTTAGAGGTTTCAGAGAATTTTCTCTCAATGAACATGTAAGATTGATAATTATGATTCTTTACCTATAATAGGTAAGAACTTCCAAATCAGCTTTGGTGCCTTCTTTTGCTTCTTGAGCAAGGTGCCTGATAGCTTTGCCATGAGGTTCCTTGTTGCTGTCAATCCAGTAGAGCCAAACTTCTTCATCATCAATGTCATCCGAGAGGATGGAGCTCTCCATGGGGTTGTCTACTTGCATTGAAACCAGCCTTGAAATAAATTATACATACAAAATCAATTAAGAAGCTAACTCACAAATACGACAGGAACTACAATGCTTAGAAATAATGAACAGAAAAAGATTTCTCCCCTATCTGGGCTTACTTAGTTTGAATGAGAATGTCTGCATTGCCTGGGCTCAGCATAAATTTACAGATGAGTTCTTGAGTTACAGGTATAGCAGTGGTATTAGAAACACATAGATCTGACAAATAATCCAAAAACCTGGCAAGAGAAAAAAAAATAAATTGAACACTAAGAAAAGGTACTTCATAAAATAGCACAATAAAAATATCCTTGGGGATATAATGAAAGTAAGTTTTTATATCTATTTTTAATAGCTCCATGCAACATTTTTTAATATGTCGCTTAGTACTGCATCATTAGAAGCAAATTAAGCATCCAATTATTTGTGTTTAATATAAATTTTGTTTCAAAAAAGGATATAAGTTTTCTTCTATTTATCTGGTTATATTCCTCCCATAGCACTGTGACTTACTATGTTTAGAAAATCAGTTATCTGCCCTAAAATGAGACTATCCAAGAACTGAATAACAAAACAAAAGCGATGAAAGCTAATGCTGTATTGAGTAAAATAGGAAAACAGCACAGTCAACAAAAGTGGTATGGCCTAGTTGAGTCAAAGGCCCATTTCTACCTTCTAACATTTATTTGCTGTGCTAATTAGGAAAGAAAACTGTCAGTTTGCTTGACTTCTCTGCATTCATTTCTCCCAGATAAAGCTGTGTGTGAAACAGAATTGTGGAATATAAGGAAGAGCATGGAGGACGTTAGGAGAAGGAAGGCAAAAATGAAGGGGGGCGTGGAATCAGAGGGGGAGACGAACCATGAGAGACTATGGACTCCAGGAAACAAACTGAGGGTTTTCAAAGGGAGAGGGTATGGGGGATAGGTTAGCCCAGTGATGACAATTAAGGAGGGCACCAATTGCATGGAGCACTGGGTGTTATACACAAACAATGAATCATGGAACACTACGTCAAAAACTAAGGATGTACTGTATGGTGACAAACAGAACATAATAAAAAAATTAAAATTAAAAAAAATGTAAATTTGATGGAATACCGCAATAGTAGGGAATATTACCATAATATTATTCATAAGTAATTATGGTATTATGGTAACATTCCTTACTATTGGGGTATTCTTTTGCAAATTGCTATCTAGGCTTCTGTTTTCTCATCTCTAAAATGTGAATAATAATTTACGATAATAAGCAAGTTGGTGCAGCCACTTTGGAAAACAGTGTGGAGATTCCTTAAGAAATTAAAAATAGAGCTTCCCTATGACCCTGCAATTGCACTACTGGGTATTTACACCAAAGATACAGATGTGGTTAAAAGAAGGGCCATCTGCACCCCAGTGTTCATAGCAGCCATGGCCACAGTCGCCAAACTGTGGAAAGAGCCAAGATGCCCTTCAACAGACAAATGGATAAAGAAGATATGGTCCATATATACAATGGAGTATTATACCTCCATCAGAAAGGATGAATACCCAACTTTTGTATCAACACGGATGGGACTGGAAGAGATTATGCTAGTGAAATAAGTCAAGCAGAGAAAGTCAATTATCATATGATTTCACTTATTTTTAGAGCATAAGGAATAACACAGAGGGCATGGGGAGATGAAGAGGAGAAGGGAGTTAAGGGAAATTGGAGGGGAAGACAAACCGTGAGAGACTGTGGACTCTGAGAAACAAACTGAGGATTTTGGAGGGGAGGGGAATGGGGTGATGGGTGAGCCTGGTGGTGGGTATTAAGGAGGGCACGTATTGCATGGAGCACTGGGTATGGTGCATAAACAATGAATTTTGGAACACTGAAAAGAAATAAAATAAAATAAAATAAAATGAAAAAACATATAATATATTGATAATATTACAATAATATACAACCAGTGTACCTCATGGAAATGTACAAGGACTTAAACAAGACAATGTACATGAAAATATTTTGAAAAACTAGAATTACTATAAAAACATAAAAGATCAAAATGAAAGTCACTCATATTTAAATATGTCTATAAAATGTTTTAATTTCCAATAAGGTAATAACTCTATGATTCATAATTATTATAAAAGCAAACCTAACATAGTTTTGTCCATGAAAGTTAGTGATGTGAAATAATTCCAACTTTTAAGGGGTGCTTGGGTGGCTCGATCAGTTAAGGGTCCATATCTTGATTTTGGCTCAGGTCATGATCTCATGGTTATGGGATCAAACTCCTGCATCAGGATCTGTGCTCAGCAGGGAGTCTTAAGGATTCTCTCCCCCTCTCCCTCTGCCCCTCCCCGCCACTCATGCAGTCTCTCTCTCAAATAAATAAATCTTTAAAAAAAAAGAATTCCAACTTTTAAAATGTTCCAAAAATAAAGCAAAAAGCTCTTTTGCAAAAAGAATAATAATAAAATAAAATAAAGCACAATCCCCACTAGTAAAGAATACTGCATAACCACTTCAAACCTTGGCTCACGATTTCTCCTGAGTAAACTGACAAATGTTTCTATTTCTTTTGCTGTGATATGTTTCTCTAGTAGTTTTCTGTTGTTGTGCAACAAAGCTGTGATGGTATCTTCTGCCAAAATATCATAGCCAATCTGGGACTGCATGACACAGAAATTCTTAGCAATATATTCCTGCAAAGAAGAAAGACTGTCAGAATATGCTGCCAAACAGCTTAGAAATAACAGGTTCTATTAGAGTCAGCAATATCGATTAATTTATTTGTAACAAAAACTCAAATGCATCGTCCAAAGAAAAGCAATAATCTTTCAATAAATATGGTTTTTTGCGAAAGGAAATTGAAACATATGAGCATGTGCCTAATTTAAATTATAATAGAAAGTTATATACATAGAAATATTTAATGTGGGTATTTATATTCTGAAAGCATAGGTGGGAAAAACAAAAATAAACCTAGTTAAAATAACAATTTCTTTCAACATGGTAAGTTTTACATGCCTAACAGAGGCCCTTCTTCTAATTCACACTGAAAGTCATAACCATTGACTGTATCATAACTACAGAAAGAAAATGACTCTGATATTTCATTCATGAGGCTTGACATCTATCCTGTTACATGAAGAGCCCAGGCTGACTTGCAGTGATTTCTTTTTTGTGCATGTCCGAATCTATTAAATCTTCTATTCAAAACAGAGATAAAATCCCATACCACTTTTTATCTTAAAAAGCTACCATACAAGATAATATGAATAATCAATCACTTCAGTGACCAGGTCATTCATCCCATAAATACTTCTTGAGAGCCTACTACATTCCAGGCTGTTTGAGAGACTAGACTATGGCACCAAACAAGATAGGTGAGTTCTCTTGAAGCCTACCTCCCACTGTGGAAAAAAAGGCAGTAAATGAGATAATAAATATGATCCTTTTATATGTTAATAAGTGAAGTGAAACAAAGGGATGGCTTGAGCTGGGATGGAAAATACAGGAATGATCAAAAGGGGGCAGCCATGGGGAGAGAAACATCTAGGTAGGCAGCAGAACCACGTTCTTTGTGCTCTACAAACAAAGGTGGCCCACGTAGCTACAGTGTAGTACATGAAGGAGAAAACAAGAGCTGAAATTGGAGAGGTAGGTCCTTGGGAGCCAGGGTAAAGGGCCAAAATGTTATTCTAAGAGCAAGAAAAAGCCAGAGAGTTTCAGTCATGCATGACTTAGTCTGCTCCTCATTCTCCACACTGACTCTTCTACCTTCCAAGTCACTATTGCTCATGTCCTGTATTCTGTTTATAAGCAGAAATCCCACACAACCATAGACAGACCTGGCAACTAACCCCTTCCACACTCCACAGTTCTCACTTCAGATTCTTGGGGATTCTCGTTGGGAATATATTTCTGGTTCTGTCATGGGCATATTTATTGATTGGAAAGTATTTTTGCCTTAGGTAAAATTTACTGGAACCTAGCTACTCCTTGAAAATGATACAGGTTGCACAAATCTAATTATATTCTAAGCAGCAATTTTGTGGCCTTTCAAAATGATAGCTTTATATTGAGTAACCAGTTAAGTAAAGTAAATGTCTTCTGTTAGTGTATCATTTTAAAGACATGTATTGATTTACACACTTTTATGGCTATTGTATTCATACCCTAGTATAAGGCAAACCTCCAAGATATTTGATAAATAGATCAAGATACTGATAAAAAATATCAAATCAAGTTAAAGGTTGTCACCAAATTCTATAAATAGTAGTAAATAGACCCTCACCCTTAAAGACCTGGGTTAGCACAAAATCACAAAAGAACTCCCTATTAAGACTCTGTACAATACAGATGAGCTAAAGGAAAACAAGACAATTAGGCAAAAAGTAGAAAGTAAAGCTGCTCTATGCTTAACAAAAGCATTCCTGATTCAAAACAAATGAGAACAAGATTATTCAACTATCACTGAAATTGAGTTGGAGCATACATGAGAACATAAGGGAAAACAAAATCTAACCCCCAATGGGTAGTGGTGATTCTTCTACTCTTTTGTCAGCTCAATGATCTACGCCTTGGAAAGAGAGCCCAAAAGAGACAAAAAGTGCCCCCCTACAGTCATATGCTCTAAAGAAACCCAGAAAGCAGGTCCCCTAAAGGGAATAATCATTTACCTGGAATAGTCATGTGCCTGGGTCAGGTGAACTAAGAACAAAGAAGAAGAAGAATTACAGGGGCAGTGTGTGTGTGTGTGTGTGTGTGTGTGTGTGTGTGTGTGTGCGCGCGCGCGCGCACGCGCACGTGCATGTGCATGTGTGTGCATGCGTGTGTTTCCACTTATCAGAAGAATGAATGTTTTCAGAGAGAAATTGCAGACACCTCAACACATTAGGGGCAGGAGTCCCCAGCTAAGACTAAAAAGTGTGAGAAAACATTTTGTGTGCCAGATGAAGAAAGGACATCAGTTAAGATGTGCTGCCTAGGGAATTTACCAGGGACCAGCTGAACAACCACACCCAAGGAGATGGGGCACTGAAGCCAGGGCAGTGATATAGAATGGAAGCTCCTGGGACCCCTCCAAAGGCCGAGCACAATCAAGAATGGCATACATTCTGAGCCCATGGGACTCAGAGCACCAGGTAAATTCTGTAGACCTGTTGGTTTCTCCAGTTAATCCAAGCTCTCTAACACACACTGCTCATGTGTGTAGAGCTGTGGCTTATCTAGCAAAGTAGATATTTCCAGACCCAAGAAGACAAATGAGGTGAGGTGGCATACAGTTAGCAACCTCTAGCCCCCATCTCCACCTCAGACCCCCACAGAATAACACGAGCCTTAATATTGGGGGATTTCTGGGACATTGATTCTCTCAGGGCTTGAAGGTCCACCGTTTAACATCCTGGAACTTGATTTCTCTTCCATTTTAATGCAATGCAGGAAAGCTGGAGGAAAGAATTTCAACAGCAGTATTTCTAATTGGAAGGAAAGGCTGTTTATAATAGGATTATATTCAGAAGTCTTTAAGGATTTGTTTATATTGTCCTCTCCCTCACTCCTTTGCTCCTTGCCAAATTATTTATCTTCTAACTAGTCTATTTTACATATTCTTTTTAGACTCTTCTTCAATCTTGAAATAGAATTTCAAAGCCAATGTATTTTAACAGATTTTTTTTAAAGCAAATTCTTTTTTTTTTTTTTTTTTTTGCCAAAAAACTTTCAAACTACTAAGAGGCAAAATGTGATAATTAAGAGTCTGGGTTTGAATATTGGCTCTGGTTTTAGCACTGTGTAATCTCTGGCAAGTGATTTAACCTCTCTGTGCTTCAGTTCCTCATCTTACCTGAGTTAAGTTACGAAAAATGCTTAGAACTGGGCCTGGTAGGAAGTAAGCACTCAATTAACACAACTAACTATTCCCAAATAAACGCCAGCCTCTGGGCCTGACGTCCTGGCCTAAGTGGCTCAGCCCAACCTGCCTCACCCCAGGCCTCTCTCCCCCACTAAACTAATCAATGAAATTTACTGAAATCCACACTTTTCTCCCAAACTGGTTAAGAGAAACACAGGATGCTAATTTAGGAAATGATAATTAGTTTTCAATAACTTTATATTAAACAAATGCATATTATTAAACGCATTGGAAAATATCGTGTATTTTTAGGATAAAAGTGAGACTTAAAAGAAATTTCATTTGCCATTGGCAACTTTTAGCTTGAGCCCTAGGTTCCCTATCCTCCACAGTTATGACTCTCTTGGGACAAAAGTGCCCTTTTTTAGCACCCATCACTCTCTCTTTATACACTTCTTCACTGAAATGCCTGTTCCCATACAATTTATGAAAATGAGTCTCATCCTCCTCAAATACTTCCTTCTCCAAGCATCCTGCCTGGGCACTCAGCCGCACTGAGCTCTCTCTCTCTTCTGAATCCCCAGAATGCTGCCTTTTCTCTCTCATGTCTCCATTTTGCCTCTCCCTTTATGTTTCAGATATACCTACCATATCTTCACTGCCAGACAAGGAAGTCTTTGGCCTACACGTGAGGATGTGGAACTTCACGTGTTCCTAGAAATGTCAAGAAATGTCTCCCTCCTCTTTATATAACACATCCAGCATGCCTCCTGCCTAGCAAAAGTTAATACCATGCACAAAGACCTCAGACATCCTCTCCCCAGAGATTCTACTTGTACACAGAAGAATAAATACATACGTCAGCACAAAAATACTTACAGGTCATTTTTGTGTGTTGTCAATATAAAACATTTCATTGCAGAGTGGAAATTCCCATTCCTATTTTATGTATTTGAGAACAGTAACAAAAGAACCTTGCTTTTACTTTAAATGTTAAGCAGAGGCAAAGAAGTTTAACAAAAATGTTAAACAGAGGCAACGACGGCAGCCTCCAACCTGGTTTTTCCGATAGTCCTGTTGTGAATGTCTCAGCACACGGTAACACAGCCTCAGCATATACTTGTAGGGAGCGTATCTTTGGTCCCCCAGATCTTCAAGTCTCAGCATTGAGCCTTCTCCTGCCTTCTCTTTAAAGGGTGCTTTGAGAATCCCAAATACCTAATTAGGAAAAAACAAACAAACAAACAAACAAAAAAAACACCTATTCTGATGAACGGAGGTTTATGTTTTACAAATAAATACATTGACTCAAACACACTTTTGTAATATTTGAGTAGAATTCAGGTAAAGGAAAAAGAAGATTTAGAATATAGAACCAACATACTAAGCAACAGAAAAAAATACCTTAAGGATCTAAAGGATTCCTTAAATTGACAAAAACTTTTCAATAAAATACTTAATTTTGTTTAGAAATTATATTTTATTAAAATAAGAAATATCGGGGGCGCCTGGGTGGCTCAGTGGGTTAAGCCTCTGCCTTCAGCTCAGGTCATGGTCTCAGGGTCCTGGGATCGAGCCCCGCATCGGGATCTCTTCTCAGCGGGGAGCCTGCTTCCCCCTCTCTCTCTGCCTGCCTCTCTGCCTACTTGTGATCTCTCTCTGTGTCAAATAAATAAATGAAATCTTTAAAAAAAAAAAAAGAAGAAGAAGAAGAAGAAGAAATATAGGGATGCCTGGGTGGCTCATTCTGTTGGGCGTCTGCCTTTGGCTCAAGTCAAGATCTCAGGAGCCAGCTGGCATCAGGCTCCCTGCTCAGCAGGGAGTCTGCTTACCCTCTCCCTCTGCTCTTCCCCCCCTCATGCTCTCTTTCCCTCTCTCAAATAAATAAATAAAATCTTTTTAAAAAATTAAATTAAATTAAAAATATAAAGATGTCAGGTTGTACCAAATTATGTGAACATAATCAAATGAACTAAAAAAGTTTCATTTCTGTAGGCTTTATAATAACTTCTATTAATGTTCTATAACTTTTTTAAATCAAAATAATATAAAGGAAACATTTACTTTTCATCTGAAATTGACATCAGAAAATGACCTCCAAGTACTGCCTCCAAACCTCTTTCAGAAAGAGTTCATTTATTGTTCTTGGTACATAACAATGTCGCCAAATCAATGAATGTATCAGGATTCAAATAAATAAAGTGCCACTTGGGCAGCTGGTAGTATGTAATGACACACATCATACCAAGGTGAGCAGCTGGGAAACAGCTAAAAAGCATTGAGGAATCTAACTCTTTGAGGCAACATGACAGCAGGTAAGGTCACCCAGGGATGAGCTGGTAGGATGAGTAAATTTTTATGAGGACTCACCTATACAAGGGCATGAGTATTAATACAAGAAACCAAAACAGAAAGTTCACGAACTACAGTACAAATTAGCATTACTTCAATAATTTTATATTCACTAAACCTTGCATTTTATATTTAAAATACTGAAATAAAAGATTAGACATATGTTGGTTGAAATAATATTAATAAATCATTCGAGGTCCTAAAAGTCCTTGAAATCAAATGTTTTATACAAAAGAATGCTAATGTCAGAAAAGCCTTGTCTCATTAGATTTGCAACCTTTATTTTCTTTGAGAGAAATGTTGATTTTATATTTTCAGACAATCAGCCATGGAATATTAATTGGCAGTATGTCTACTGTTCTCCTTTCCCAACTCCACAAGAATACATATATTAATAACACGATTTTTTTTTTAAGTATCTTCCTTGCAGAAGCCCATTACTGTATACGGCAATTAACCAAATTAAAAAAAAAAACAAAAACACAGAAAAGTAGGCACGCCCATATGTGCATATTATCAGGAAGGAATTAATTTACCGGTGTGTTATTAACAATTTCTGAAAGACATAGTATAAGTGCAGCTCTAGACTTCCAGGGAAAAAACTAGAATATTGTACAGAGTACTTGTGAGCTGATGACTAGACTGCCTCACTTTCTAGGGAAGAGAGAGACAGAAGTAGGAAGTAGATGGAGATGGCACTTTCCAAGTTATCCTGGAAATTCTACCTAGAAAATTATTCCAGCATGTTTTCTGGAGATAGTCTGACCCTGTAGGTTTTGTGAGAGGTCTGCAGGAAGCTGTCTCTACAATGGCCCCACTGATCCCTGCCTCCTGGAATTTACTCTAGATAAGATGTCACTTCTCAGACTGAGTTATAAAAGAGACTGTAGCTTCCATCTAGGTGCCCTCTCTTATTCTTTCTTGGATCCCTCATTTCTAAGGAAAGAAGCTTCCCAGTCTCAAGGCAGTCCTAGTAGAGGCCCGTGGGAGTGCGCTGGGAAGTGAATCCTCTTCAGTTCAAGCCTGAGATGACTGCAGCCCCAGGCAACACCTTGAAAGGCAACCTTGTGGAATCCTCTGAGCAAGAACCACCACCTAAGCCATTCCCAGATTCCTAAGCCACTCCCAGATTCAGAAACTGTGTAACTAGTATCTGTAGTTTTCAGCCTCGAAGTCTTGGGGTAATTTATTACACGGCAATAGTTAACTAACACAAGGACTTCCCTGATGCTACAATTCAAAAAAACTAAATATGCAAATGTAGTATATGAAAACATTCACCTGTGCCAATATGTTTTGTTCCCTCATCAATTTTTGACGTTCTCGGTTTGGCTTAGTGATAACCACATCCAGAACTTCTTGTCCATTATTAAGTACATCAGCCACAAAGAAGATGAGGTCTTCCAATAATTTGGTTACAAACCTATCATAAAATGAAAAGGAATTTTTACTCTAGTTTTGGAAAATATTTTTTAATAAACACTTAAGGACTGAAACATTAGAAGATTGAGAGTATTTTGTAATAAACATTCTTTCACCAACAAAATACCTAATTCAGTTGACATTTACCTAAATCTTTACAAAGAACACGCCTTCTCCAGCTCCTGCAGCCCCCAGTCCTGCCTCAAGTTTCTAGTCAAGTATTTGCAAATACAATTATGAAATAAAGCCACATGAGCCCCAACAGGAGATGAGTTGATAGGCTAACACCACCAGATCCTTTTCTATGACTAACCAGCAAAGAAGAGTATTTCTGCTTAAGGGAGGACAGCTCAATTTCTAAATTTCTAAATTTCTAAATTCAAATCATTTTTCTACTATTGACTCAAACTACATTTCCTAATACTTACCACACTTCTATATCTCCAATGAACAGAACAGGAAAAACCTAAATGATCTGTGAACAGATTCAGAGCAAGCAATCAGCTGTTCTAAACTGTTCTTAAACTAGGGATGCCTGGGTGGCTCAGTCAGGTAAGCATCTGCCCTTGGCTCAGGTAATGATCTCGGAGTCCTGGGATTGAGTCCCACATCAGGCTCTTTGCTCAATGGGGAGGCTGCTTCTCCCTCTGTCTGCCATTCCCCCCTGCTTGTGCTCTCTCTCTCTCTGTCAAATAAATAAAATTTAAAAAAATTTTTTTAATAGTAAAAAAAACCTGTTCTTAAACTATTACCTGATCTACAAAAATCATATCAGTCTAAAATCATATACTAATGTTCACCTTTAACTCTACATTTTAGTTATTAAATATTACTTGAATTTCAGAGGCATTTAGAATCTGAAGTATCTTGAAAACCCTTCCTCCCTTAGCTGTCTTATTTCTCCTTCCTGTATGCTTTTTATCATGTTCCATATGAATTTTTAAATGTTTTAATTTTTGAAAAATTTTGTCCAGCAAATACATACACATATATGTATCTATACATGTCAGCATATCATTCACTATTATTAGCATGGTCAATCATGATGGCATCAATAAGAAAACTACAATATAAAAGATTCAACAAATCCAGAAAAGTGTAGAATGGATTCAGTTAGGAAATATCTTGATCTGTCTCCGATCTACCTTCTAAAAGAGAAAGTAACTTTCTTGGAGCCAAATGGACATACCTTAATCCAGAATTTAGCCACCTACAGCCAAATTTTAGCCTATTTCCAGGAATCATAAATTCTACTCCAACACTCCAGAGATTCTATGTTTTCTTGGGGTAACTATTTTAAATTTTAACCCAATCCGTTTCTTTTAAAAAATGTGCCTGTGTAGGATTCACTCTCATAGCCTTTGAGGGCAACCACAGAAATGTATATGATTTGTGTGCATTGAAATGTGGTGTGAATTTCTTTTGAAATTTTGACTTAGTGTCCTCCAAATCATTCTGGTATTCCTAAAAACAAAAATTATTTTCAGTCCAGGTTTCTTCAACCAACTGTAATAAAGTTGAACTTCAGTTGCTATCTGTTCAATCTACAAGTTGAGTTTGAGCATAAATAGATGTATTTTCTTTTAAAATTATTAATATTCTTTTTCTCCTGTTTCAAGTTAAATGTGTTCCAATGTTTAGACATCTAAGAAAGCACAACTGTGGGACAGCTACAAATCACTCTGCTTCAAAGTCTTCCAAATGGCCTCAACTGGGGACAGTTACTGGAATGACGATCAATTAACAGTCTTAATGGAGGATCACTATACATTAGTCCTGCTTACACAACCTGGTTCCTCTGCTGATGGGGCAATGGAAGGCAAGAAAACCAGTCTTGTCTCTTAACCTCTGAAACTTTTTCCCCTTTTTCACCTCAAGCACCCCATCTGTGGCAAAGCTACTGGGTTTTTTCAGTTTAGATCAAACTCAATTCTATACTCAGAAGTGGTTTGTCCTACTAAATCATTCAATCTTATTTGCTTGTACTAAAGACTTTTGTGAGACTTCGTCATATGTGGAAATGATAACTAAAATATATTGTTTGAAAGATATACCTAAAAAAATAAAAAGCTCTGTGGATTAGGAAGAAAATAAGAAAAACACAGCCAGGAGTGCCCAGGTGGCTCAGTAAGTTAAGTGTTTGCCTTTGGCTCAGGTCCTGATCCTGGGGTCCTGGGATCGAGTCCCGCATTGGGCTTCCTGCTCAGCAATGAGCCTACTTCTCCCTCTTCCTCTCCCCCATCCCCTACTTGAGCTCACTCTCTCTCAAATAAATAAATCTTTAAAAAAAAAAAAGAAAGAAAGAAAGAAAAGAAAACAAAAGAAAAAATACAGTGATAAGCAAGGATACTGTTCAATCCTTGCCAGATAACTGGGACTAACAGCACATGGTAGGGAACTAAGCTGAAGACATGAAAGCAGGTATTAAAGGAGGTTTTCCACCTCTTAAAAGAACCTTAAAACTTGGTGGCTCCTTTTCAGCTCTGGCTATGCAGTGGTAGCAGGAAAGAAATTCATGACAGGACTGGACCTCACCACCTGTGATCTCAACAGCTGAGCCTCAAATTACCACAGGACTCGGGACTCTTAGTCCTCAGTTTCACTCCTCAACTAGCTGAGACGTGCCAAGTGGAGGCAACCATGAAACTGATAGAGGAGATAAGCAAATGAAAAGAAAGGAAAAGCAAAAACCACACACCTAAGAAGAGCCTGCATATTCAAATTCCAAAGCACAAGGGGAAAACGGACATGAAGCCAGACCCACCATATGTAAAAAACAAGAGGCCAGGGCACTGGGTGGTCCAGTCTGTGAAGTGTCTGACTCATGATTTTGGCTCAGGTCATGATCTCATGGATCATGGGATCGAGCCCCATGTTGGGCTCTGTGCTGGGCATGGAGCCTGCTTGAGCTTTTCCCTCTCCCTATGCCCTCACCCCATTCATTCTCTCTTGAGCACTCTCCTCTCCCAAATAAAAAAAAGCCTTTAAGAGAAAATCAAGAGGCCAATTCATTACCAACAAAATGCAAGTAACAGAACAATTTCGAAATGATTTTTAAATAACTTTTTTTCCATCACCAAAGAGATTAAGAAAGCAATTATATACCAAAAACGACAAACATATCTTAAAAAGGCAGATATGAATGAAAAGGTGGATACACAAGAGAACCAACAGAAAACTGAGAAATAAAATTATAATCATTTAAATAAAAATCTAATTCATGAAGTTAAACTATTCTGTACACTTTCTAAGAAAAATTAGTGATTCGTAAGACAGTATCAAAAATCAATCCAGAAAGCAGCACAGAGAGATTTAAAAAGGAAAATTATAAAAAGAAAATTAAGAGATAAAGAGGATCAATTAAGAGGCTCAAACATATATTTAATGGGCATTCCAAGAGAGAGGAAAGAGGGAAAAGATTAAGAAGTAGCATTTGAAAGAAAATGGCTGAAAACTTCAGAATTAAAGGAAAACATAAGTACACAGAGTAAAAGCATACCTTAAATGTTAGGTGGGAAAAACAAAAATTAAATTTCCTTATGTTTAAAGAATAAAAGGTTTTTTTAATGAACTCACAGATACAGAGAACAGATTGCCAGACGTGAAGTGAAAGGTAAAAGGAGTGAGTGAAATGGGTGAAGAAAGTCAAAAGGTACAAACTTCCAGTTATACAATAAATAAGTCCTGGGGGTGTAATGTACAGCATAGTGGCAATAATTAAAAATACTCTATCATATATTGAGCAGTTGCTATGAGAGTAAATCTTTAAAGCTCTCATCACAAGAAAATAAAATTTCTCTAAGTCTATATGGTGACAGATGTTAACTACACTTACTGTAGTGACCATATCATGATATACACAAATATCCAGCAATTATGTTGTACACCTGAAACTAATATAATGTTGTATGTCAACTGTACCTCAAATTTTTTAAATGCATTAAAAATTTCCTTGTAAATACACCAGAGTAAAACTTCAGGATATCAAAGACAAAGAAAAAATGTACAAAATTACCAAAAAGTAAAGCATAAAGGTCAATAAAGTAAAAATTCCATCAGCAAAAGACTTCTTTTTTTTTTTTTTTTAAAGATTTTATTTATTTATTTGTCAGAGAGAAATCACAAGTAGGCAGAGAGGCAGGCAGAGAGAGAGGAGGAAGCAGGCTCCCTGCTGAGCAGAAAGCCCAATGCGGGGCTTGAACCCAGGACCTGGGATCATGACCTGAGCCGAAGGCAGCGGCTTAACCCACTGAGCCACCCAGGCGCCCCAGCAAAAGACTTCTTAATGAAAACAAAATATGTCTAAAAATAATTACATTATAGCCTTAAAATACTAAGGGAAAATAACTGTCAAGCAAACATTCTATATATAGTTAAAATAGTACTTAAGAGTGGCAGCAAAATAAGTATGTTTTCGTATATTCAAAAATTCAGAGGATTTAAAACCCATAGACACTGACTGAACAGCTTTAAGGAATAAATTTCAGCAAGCAGAAGAAGTAAAATATAACAAGAAATACAATTCATAGTAAAGCTAGTTTTTAAAAATAAAAAATTTAATGAAAAAGTGGTATATCATAATTTATAGGATACATCTACTTCTTTGTAGGTATCAACTATTATTAAAAGAAAATTTTAAACAAAATTTACACAGAACTATGGTTCTAGACAAATATTCCAAGAAAGATGTGAAGGAGAGTATCAGTGCATTTTCTCCTATGAGCAAAAAGTACTTTTCTCCCATGAGCAGAAGAAATAAATATTTAATAGCTTCAAATTTTATAGGAAAGAATATGCAGTTATGCAGTTAAAATGAATGGCAAGAATTTAAGGGCAATTGCTAAAGAATAGCAACATGACCTAAAGCTTTTAAACCAGTACAGGAAAAAGAAAAATGGGGAAAAAATATAAATTTTATCACTCTAGCAGAAAGCAAGAAGGTAGAGGGAAAAGAAAAAAAAAAAAAAAACTACACTAAAGAAAAAAATTAGAATAAATCCA